AACTCCCAGAATTCCCCAGCCAGCATGGCTATCTGGGGAATTCTGGGAGTTGAAGTCCACATGTCTTAAAGGGGCTACGGTTGAGAGACACTAGTCTAAAAGGATGCTCTACGGGGAGGGAGCGGACTTACTCTCTGTTCTCTCTGAGGGCACGAGCAGAACCAGCAAATTAAAACTACATGTCCAGAGGGTCAGCCTTGACGTCGCGAGGAATTTCATGAATGTGTGAGCTGGCAGCCAGTGGAGCAGACCGCCACACGATGTTTGCTGGAGGTCTTCCAGCAGGGCAGGAGGGGAAGCTCTGGGCTTGCAGGCTGGCCTGTGGGGGCCCAAGCTCAGCCAGCACGAGGGTTGCTGCAGATGTGTGCCTAACGCAGCTGCCAGGGAGTCACGGGTGCTGCAGCTGCCCCAGGCTGGGAGGCTGAGTGACCAGCGGGGGATCTGGTTCCTCTTCCCTGTGCCGACAGCTGCTCTTCAGCCCCGTTTGGTGGGGCCGGACAGCCCTGGTTGCATCTGCGGTGGAGGGCCATCAGAAGGCCCCACACGTTCTTGCTTGGCCCTCCCAAAGATCCCAAGGTCCGCTGCCGCCACCTCTCCCTCCCCTCCCCAAAGATTCAGAGCCAAGCTCGTTTCCTGCAGCTGACTTGGCATGGCCTCCCCCACCTCTCTGCCAAGGGCAGCCATGGGCCACTTTTAAGGAGGCGATCTGGGTAGTCCCAAGTTCAAAATCCACCTTCCAGTAGGTGGTGGCGGCGGCAGTGAGAACCAACACTGATGAGCAGAGCTTTTCAGGTGACTCCACTAAGACGATGTCTACATCTTGTTTTGAACCTTAGGAGGTATTATAGGAGCCGCCCTCAGTCTAGCGCTCTCCAGTCCGCAATTCCCATCATCCCCAGCCAGCATAGCCAAGAGGTGCAGAATCTGGAGAGAGCCTCTGTTCCCCCTTCCTTGGACCCAGCCCTTCCCTTCCGGCACCCTTGGCCCCAACGCCTTTCCCCATGGCCTGCTCTGGCTGGCATCTTGGTGGCAGGACACCACCTCTCCCTGTCCTGCATCGGCTGGTCTCGCGCAGCCTGCCCAGAACTTTAAAGAAGCCAGCCCAAGGGGCGTCTTTTCCTGTAGAGGGGGATTTACAGAAGGCAAAACGCAGAGGAGACTCTTGATTCTTCATTAGGGCACCGGAGGAGGAGCCAGAAGCCCTGGGGGCCTCAATGAGACTTCTATGGGCAGCAGCAGTGCCCCTAGAGCCCTAGCTGAGCCTGGGTGGCGCAGGAAGCCACGATGCCCAGCTTTAGTCGTCCTGAGTGGGAGCAGGACCGGGCAGGCGTTGCTTTGACTGACTCTGCCACCTCTTTCCTGGCAGCTGGGCCAGGCAAGGCTCCCACCTGTGATGTGTGGAACTGCTCTACTCCCAGCTGGCCCCTCTGGATAACCAGATCCCGGACCTACCTGGGAAGGGGGCAGCGACAAGGCTGGTGAAGGCGTTCCTGGGCGCACAGCTAGACGGAGCCCAAGAGACAGAGGGGAGGTTGGCATCTTTATTGGGGATGACAAAAAGACCCACGCGCAAGGTAATCACCGTGGGGAGCGCAGGGCGAGGCAGGCGATGCTGCTCCTCCCTTGCAGCAGCAAGATGAGCCCCACTGAGCCTTCCAGGTCACGTAGAGGAAGGGCCGGGTGACGCCGCTGTCCCTGAGTGTGGCGAGCTGGACAAGAACAGGCAGGAAGCTTTGGGTTGGGCAATGCGGAGTTACGGCAGAGAGGCACCGCAGCTCTTTCTGGGGGAGGTGGTTAAGAAACTCTGCTGGAGGACCAATCCAGCACGAGGGCTACCAGCCACAATGTCTGAAAGTCTACCTGAGCACTGAGAGTCCTGAGAATCCCAACTTTCAAACCATTCCAGCGAGTTTCTAGTTCCTATGACAGTGGAACCCAGCCAGCCAATGGCTGGGCCTCGCCAAGGGTGGCCTGGAAGCTTGAGGGGGCCTGTGTTTGAACTAAGGGGAAGGGGAGCAGTCTGGATTTGGGGTATTCTAGCATTCCTCTGCTCTTTCATTCAACACCAAGCGTGCCCAGAAGCTGCCTGTCATCGGTGACAATTCAGGGAGAATCTCTTTCGACCAGCTGAGGAGATGCCCCTTCTCCTCTTGCGGAGGAGGGCAAAGGAGGAAAGATCCAGGCAGCTAGTTAGCCTCCAGACCTGTAAACAGTTCAACTCTGGCAGAGGACTGCTGCGGGAAATCCACATACAGTCTTCACAAAAAGAAAGACAGCGGAAGCGCTAAAGAACAGCATAGGCTGAAAACTGAGTATTTCCTTTGTAAACAGGATGTGGAGCTCAGGTGGCATCTTGGTTGGCAGCTTCCAAACTGTACCATGTTTCAATTCTGGAAGGTGCACCTGGCCTGCCTCAGCACCACGAGGGACCATTTGGCTGGGCGATGCTGAGGGCAAGTGATTGGAGCAGATCTTCAGCTACTGCCTCGTCCTCGCTCTCCTGGGGTGGATTTTCTGCCAAGCGGTTTCTCCAAACAGTCATGCAAGCCAAAGGCCAAGCAGATCGCTTGTTACCTCTGCCTTGGAAGAGCAGGGAAACCAGGTTTGGACATGTTGAGAAGAAGGTGGATCTTCTTTGCACCATCAAAGAAACAGCATCTCGAGCAAGCTTTGCGCAGTTGAGTGCAATCATGGCCTTTCTTCCTCCTTGCGGGGAATAAGGCTAAACATCTGAGTGTCCTGGTTCTCCGAACAAGCTGGTCCTTGATCCTTCTTAGGAAACAAAGTTTGGGGAGGAAAGAGTAAAGTGGGAAGCAGAGAGAGCTCCTGGGCATAAGCAGAGAGCAAGGCTGCTGAACTGTCAAAGCTGTTGGGGCCGCCTCCTCTCTCCCGAGCCTCTGAGGGCTGGCTGGGGACAAGGCCTCCTTCAAAGCAGCACGCACGGTTTTTTGGGCTTGGGTGGGGCCGGATTGAGGACCGCTCTCACAGCTTCTGTGAAGACCTCCTTGATTCCCTCCTGGTTGAGGGCAGAGCACTCCAGGTACTTGATGGCATGGATCTGCTTGGAGAGGGCAATGCCTTGCTGGGTGGTGATGGGCAACTGGTTTTGCTCCTTCAGCTTCTTCAAGGCCTCGGGGTTGGTCCGGAGGTCTTTCTTGGTGCCCACCAAGAGGATGGGCACGTCAGGGCAGTGATGGCACACCTCTGGGTACCACTTGTGCTTCACATTCTCGTAGGAGGGCGGGCTGGCGATGGAGAAGCAGATGATGAAGACGTTGGTCTGCGGGTAGGAAAGCGTCCGGAGGCGGTCATACTCTTCTTGGCCAGCTGTGTCCCACAAATTGAGGTTTATTGTCCTGCCATCAACGGTGTTCTGTGCGCTGTAGTTGTCAAAGACGGTGGGGATGTACTCGTTGGGAAAGGCGTTGGTTGTGTAGCAGATCAGGAGGCAAGTCTTGCCCACCGCACCGTCTCCCACCACCACACACTTGATGCTCTGCATCTCGGCAGCTGTTCCGGGGTTCTCGAGGCTCCTCCTCAGCAACCTGCAGGGGACCGAAAACAGAAGATGCTGGGCAGAGGCCTGCGGGAGGAACCCAACCAGCCCCTCCTGGCTTGCTCTTCATCACTGCCCACATAGACGCACCAAGAGCGTTCAGTGCCCAACGATCTGTAACACTGAGGGATGCAGGAGAATATTTGGCTTTCTTGCCAGTTTTACAGACCGTTCCGTTCTAATAGTTTGCATGCTGGACTGGGCTCACGTGCTACTTTAAAAAGATGCTCACGCTCTCCCAGTTTATTGTGTTTTGCTTTGAAAGGTTGCCCAAAGTGGGATTATGGGAAGCTGCTCAGCACTGGATGGGTAGCTTAGAGGACAAAGACATTCTTAGCGCTTCATAAGGGCTTCATCTTACAAGCTGTCCTGGCCTGTGTCTCCACAGGGATGCTCCTGAAAGGGGACTGGGGTCCCTCAGAGCTGGAGTGGGCCTGGTATCAACACCCACTCAGAGCAGAGTTGAGGGGGAACCTGGAAGGGAAGGGGCAGTGCCCAGTTTCCCCTTCCACGCCCTCCCGGCTGGAAAGGGTGAGCGGGCAGGCTGTGGCTC